GTTCCCGCGGCGCCCGGCGTGGAGCTCTGCGACCGGGCTGGGCCGCCCGGGACAGCGGCTGCGGGGCAGAGCCGGCCGCCTGCAGAGCCCGGATTTTCCCTCAGTCAGCGCTTTGCCTGCTGAGCTGTGCTTAATCAGGCGGCCTTAAGCCCCAGGTTGCTGAGATAGCCCAGCCCCCTCCAGGGAATGAATTTCAGCAAACAGCAGCCCCCACCTCGGCGCTTCTTGCCCGCTTCGCTCCCGCTCTTCACCTAAACCGTCCCCCAGGCTGGGCTGCGGCCCGTGCTGCAGCCGCAGCGATTGAGACCTTTGGAACGGGAAAGGCGTCCCACCGCAGGGTTACATCAGCCAGGATGATTAGTAAAATTAATAATTTTGGAACCAAATGCTAAAGTCTTCAACTTCGGGTTTTGCTCATTTATCTCATTGTTTCCTTGTACTTTCCCATCTGTCTCCTGCCATCTGTTGTCTTGCCTGGGACTTGGGCTGCGAGCTCCTTACAAAAGAGGCTGCGCTCACCCAAGGCCTAACACAGCACAGCCCAGGCTGCCGCTCTGACTCCGTGGCCCTCTGATGCTACCAGTAATTTGTGAATCCGTCTTGATTCGCTCAGATTATTCGGTTGTGGCTGACTTATTTTACAGCCTCATCTTGCAGACAGTCGTTGAAAAAGTCTGTTTGAACAGGCACCACACAACATGCCTTCTCCTGAGGCAACTGCTGTGCCCACAGCTTGCAAATGCCCGGGAGCAGACAGGAAGGCGGCCGGGGAACTTCATAAATAAAAATTCAGATGTTATTCTAGAATTAGGTGGTGCCTAGCTAGGAATTTGGGCAGTCTGAATTTCCAGATTAAACGGCCAAGTCTTGTGCTGGATTTAGTTCTTTGTGTAGAAGGAGAGTGGTGGATTTAGTTCTTTGTGTAGAAGGAGCCGTGGGAGTTATCCCAAGCTGCTGCCAAGGTCTATGTGACGGGTGAGGCAAGGGTGACAGCTACCTGTAAAAGTAAAGGCACTGGCAGTAAAGTGCAGAAGAAAATGGTTGGCAGTGCAACTTTCCACCAACAGAGAGAGAGAAAACCAAAGGAGAGTATTCCTCCATGGCAGACCGTAACAGGCTGAAGTTATTTCTGAAAGAAGATACAGTCACTGCTTTTGTTATTAACTTTGTAATTAGTTTCAAATTTTATAGTGCAGAAAGGTGGTGTCAAAACATGAAGACTGATTAGGCCTAATACATGCCTAAAGTCATAACAGTTTCATCAAGAGCATGATTTAATAATTGATGGTTTTATAAGAAGACTCACAGTGATAAATTTATACAAAGAACAGAAAATGCAGAGGCCAGTTTTAAACAGTTATCCAAGGTTACACACACACACGGGTTGGACCCATTTAGCAGATCCCACCTGTAGACAAGCAAGAGGAAAAAAGAGTTTATTAGGAGGAGAGGGGTTAATTGCGAGCTTCGACAGGCCATACAGGAACCCTTCGGGGAGTCCTGCTGAACATGGAAGGACAGTTTGGTTTCCAGCCTCTTTCAGCCGTTGCTCTGTCTGCTGTTGCTGCAATTACAGGATTATGTGTGGTCTGTGATTAGGAAACCTTGTTTAAAAGGTTTCCTTATTTAGGAAACCTTAACCTTAGCAACGGCTCTGAGACCACCAATTCACTCTACATAGGGCTAAGATTAGTTAATAGTTCAGTTATAAAAATACAGTTTTTAAGGATTTAGTTTCAACTAATGAGGGTAGAAACAAAATACATGCAATACATGTAATTTTAATAAATGAGTACATGTATAAAAATAGGAAAATGTCATTTTAATAATATCAGTTAGTAGTGATTGGTTGGATAAGATTAGATAGGTTTAGCTCACTGCTTTTATAGCATATCAGCTTTAGAGAGCTACCGATCTGTGACGTTTGTGTAAGATTTAACTCGAAGTCTTTCAACACTACCAGGAGAATGAAGAGATCCTTCAGTCAGTTGGCTATCATCACTTAAACTTGTAAGTGTACAACTGTTTTAACAAAAGGAGCCATGCTCATGTCCTGGCAAAGTAGTAATGACTTGTACTTTCCACTTGTGAAATCCTGCATTCCTGACAGCAAAGGGCTGTCAGCATCCATTATTGACGCTTGGCAAGAGCTGGATCTGATAAGATAAGGATCTGTGTGTCCCTATTTTCCAGATGGGTAAACTGATGTACAGACAGTACACGAGTGAGTTGACTACAGACATATAGTGAGTCAGGGGCAGAAACGGGTGCTTCACATTTGCTCTCTGCTACTGTAACCACCACATCACATTCCCACCTCCAGGGGTAAAGAGTTTTGTTTATCACAGTCATTCTGATTCATATCGGTGTTGCTTCTCACTGCGGGGTTTCAGATTTCACACGCTCCTGCTACAAAAAGAACTTTATGCCTGTATTTATATTGGCAAAAAACCCTGACTATTTCATTCCCATGAAATCCCTTTCTAAACATTGTTATCACTAACATATCGCTTATTTTTACTTCCTCTCTGCATTCCCATAGGGTGTCTAAGCCTTGGCAATACAAAGGCAAAGAAGATGCTATGAACGCTTCTAACAAATGTGAAAGATTTCACATAAACAACAGTTTAAATACTGTCTACAGGGGAGCCCTGGGTTTAACTTGACCTCCTTAGCATGTCCAAAATACTTCATTGCCCACATGAGACTCCTCAGAGGGCTTAGAGCATGACAGCTGAGAAACGCCACGTCCTTCAGTTCCAACCTGAGCGTGACCTAAGACCTGAAAAGTAATTGAGAGTTATGAATCGCCTGTCTCTCTTGGATGCAACTGACAGAAGGAAGATAATGTTTATAAGTAGCTATAATATCTCTTTCAGGATGCAGTCGGGGTGGGGAAAAGAGATGGGTACATTTTCATCTAGGAAAACCCTTTTTCAGAAGTTGAAGAGAGGTACATGAGCCTGAAAGCTGGTCGGGCCTAAGGGAAGATCTCACCTCTACACAGGCCTGTCATAACTGAGGCTAAGGTTCCCCCCGGTGGCTGAAATGAAGATCCCAGCTCCACCTGGAAAGTAAAGAAGACAAGTGAGGGATGGGCTGACTTCCCAGCAGGAGCAACTGCGGAAGGATGATGCTTCTCTGCCCAGAGAAGGTGGGAGCTGAGCAGGCTGTGGGCTGGCGAGCCTGATGTAGCTGGCAGAGTCGCAGGGGCAGCGAGGGCAGAGAGCTTCACCATCTAGCCACCAACTACAAACGGGCTGGGGACCCCAGCCGGGTGGTTTAGTTGTTCTCTCTTTGTTGCTCACTAGATTAAGTGATCAAGTTAGTGCCCGTTACAGTCACATCCTCTTTTTATCATACAGACATAACCAGATCAAATTATCCAAGTACGTAGCTACTGCATGCAAGAGGAGAATGAGACTCCAAACCCAGCTTATATGATGTGAAAGCAGTTGCTGCAATAAATGTGAGCTCTTTATTTTTTTTCAGATTACTTTTGTAGGCTATTTGCCATTTTTCTCTATGCAAGGCTTGGAGTCTTTTTGATATGAACTCTGGGCATCTGCTCAATTAATGCTGCATGAAAAAAAAATATTTAGGACTCTGCTTTTACCTAAGAAGCTGCATAGCTGTAACTCAGGCAGCAATTCTTAACGTCATCCTGTGGATGAATTACTAAGATGTGCAGTGACACGAACAATGCTTCATCTGTCCCCTGCCCTGGATCTCTGTCCCGGAATCTGTGGATCAGCACATGCAAAAATCACTTTTTCCATTCCCCAGCCCTGCTGTCAGCTCAGCTGTAGCACCCCATAGTGTTACTCCTGAGCAACCCAGAGGCTATGGAAAGTTAATGACCTGAAAGGGGAATCCAAAGCTGCTGGGGAAACACAGGAAAGATGCTGTCGGGTTTAAGCAGTGGAATAAAGTTGGATGTGGATGCTAAGGGTATGACAGTTGATTTTGAAGGGGATACTGGGATCTAAGCAGATCCTCAGCTAGGAGGGAGATGTAGTATTTCAGTGGAAGTGAGAATAGTTATATAGATCCTAGTGTATGGATCAGCTGAACCTGCAGAAAAGACAAAATAAACCATGAAGGTCCCCTCGTGGCTGGCATTAAAATTACGTTTCTAAGTCATACACCTGAACTCGAGCTGTTCAGCTACATCTCATACTTGCGAGAGAGTGAGCTAGTGGGGAAGACAACATACCTCAAGCACAGCCAGATGCCACTAGCTCCTCGGAAAAGGGTTTGCAAGTGTCAGAGATCGTAAAGTGACAGCCATGCCAGTGAGAAAAGGCACGAGGATAAGGCCAGGGGGAAGGAAGGAGTGCACACAGCACCCCTGCTACCAAAATGACTCACACAGAGGGAAGGTTGCAACAGAGGGGAAAACACCTATGTAAAAAAAAAAAAAAATTGGGTTTTCTCCCACTTCTGCCTCGTCTCATGCTGCAGATTGTTGCTGTTCTTCCTTATGAAAGGGGAAGAGTAAGGTCTTTTCATCCCACTTCCTTCTCCTCCTGTCACCACTACTTTTCTCCCTCACACTCTTACTGGTGGCCTGGGGGCCAACAGATCCAGGGAACAGAATAAAATGGGGAGGAGAAGGGGCCCCGGGTGTGGTATTCCATGATAAGAAACATGTGCTGAAAGGGGCAGCCAGGTAACAGCATCACTGTCTGCAGGTTGTTAGTTTGACATGTAATTGTGGGCTCCTACCTCAAAGTGCCTGCAGCTTTGTAAAAGAGCATCTGAGATACTCTCATGGTTTGAGCTTGTGTTTTGCCTGTTCTCAGCTTAAATAGAAGATTCATCTTCCAGGGCTGTCATTTTAGTAGTAAATCCACACCAAAATGTTGTAACAAAGGAAGAAGAAGTTTTGCAGTCATGTGCTTGAGATGATTACAGGCAACACTTCACCCTAATAACCACATT